CCGCTGCATAAATGCTCATCCTATATTGGTTGATCTTTGGTTCTGCCCATACTCATTGAAGTATGTTACAGTTTTGGTATCGGAGCAGACCAAAACGGATCTGCTCACCAGGTAAGTCCGTTTAGAATTAGATTATCATGTTTGATCTTCTAAATCGGCGCTGAAGTATTATCAAGTTCAAAGTTGCAAATTTTCTTTTTTCTGTATTCTGGCTATTTCAGCATTTCCGTTTCAATTCAGTATTCGGACTTTTATTCGGATTTCTGTTGTACACGGTATGCTGTTTAATCAGATCCGAGAGATTGATACTAATCCAACATTCTGTTTGATTCGGATTTCTGGTTAAGTAATTCGTAATTAGGGTTGAATCAGTATCATGTTTGAAATTCGGGTTTTCTGATTTTCATTCAGCATTCCGTTTTTCGGCATTCTGTTGTAAATCCTATATTTCATTTTCTTCAGAGATTTCCGTTGTCTTTCAGTATGGGAATTAGGGTTATGAAAATCTTTTGGTTTTAGATCAACTTGGGGAAACTCGAACGTTTTGGGACCGTAAATCCGGAAATTTCGCCGAAACGCAGAAATTAGGGTCGGGACCGAAATTTTCGCGAATTTTTTTTTCGTTCTCCTTGTTTGAGAAATTCCGAAAATAGGTTTAGACTTTTAAAAATCGGATTTTGACGGTGGAAATTCCTGAAAATTTGCATTTTTGAAAATTCGAGCATTTCTCTGAAATTTTCGGAAATTTTTTTTAGCACACTAAGCCGTATCTGACCCTCAAACTGCAACTTCCGGGTAGTTCACTCAGTAACGGTGAACTCCCGGACTCATAGTAATCTCGAAARAGACCTAGTCATATTACCATTCAAATTCGTTTTATGATTAATTATCTCGTATTTTTTCATTAATTAAATTTATTGATTAAATCGTTAATTATTTTATTACGAATTTTCTGAATTGGTTCCGGGAATTTATTTTCGGGTTTTGATTAGGGGTCTATAGTCCAACAAGTGGGACAGGGGATTGTAGGTGTATTGCTTGATTGTTCTACCCCTGTTCCCACTCTCCCTACCCCCCGTGTTCTGTGATTACCGGGACTTCTCAAGTACCGCATCGGTTCAGACTGATGTCGACGGAACAGGACACCGGGGCACTGCCACGACGCAGTGCCAGAATCGCAGTTCGTGCCCGCCCTGCAGTACCTCCAAGACCGAAGAAACTCAGCAGGCGGACGACTCCAGCAGCATCAAGTACGGCATTGACGGTACAAGATGCCACCGGAGATCATCCCGCATACTCAGTCCGAGGAGCCAATGAGCCAGCGGCTGATTATCGTGGGCGGCTACTGGCATTTACAGAAGCCGTAGCTGCCGTCGAGGCCCGGAAGGAGACAGCAGAGGCAGAACGTCAGCGGATAGCCAATGAAGCGGCAGCCGAAGCTCAGCGAACGACTGAGACTGACGCAGAGACACGAGACAGACGGAATGCCAGCAGCACGGAGTCCTTGATTGCTTGTGAGCATCAGTGGACGACGATACTCCAAGACATGATCTTTGTGCCTACGGAAGCGCAGGCAGACCCGACACCGGCGGAGGCAGAGAGAAGTAACCTGGCTAACTTGCTGCTGGGCATGATGAGAGGTATTATGTGGAATAATACATTGCTGCATTCACATCTGCGCACAGACGCGACGCAGCGACAAACATACAAGAACGATATCACTGCGTTAACAACTGCTATCCGCACAGAGGCAACGCAGCAGCAGCAACAGCATCATCAGTTGAATTCCACTATCACACGCGTCAACAGCATAGAGGCTAACGCCTCAGCAGCGCCAGGCTGCACGACAGACGTGACGAAGCAACTCAACGAGCGCATCGATCACGTCGTCACCATCATCGGCGACATAAGTACTTTCAACGGACCAGACTCGATCAGCAGCACGGTGGCCGCCATCAAGACGGACATCACCAAGCTACAGACGAGACCGGAAGCCGCTACAAAGACGTTCAAGATGCCGCACTTCGACATCAGCAAGTTCGATGATTACAACAAGTCGAATGCCTTGTCATGGTGGCAACGCTTCCTCACGGAAGCATCATGCCGCATGGTCCCGGCGGACGACATGTTGAAGGCAGTATATCTGCAGCTGATTGGAGGAGCGCAGGGATGGATGAACCACCTAGCGGCTACACACAAGCGCACTATCGCCGAACTCCACACGCACATTACGTGGAAGGAGTTCGAGCAGCTATGGTTCACCCAGTTCATGGTCCGCAACGTCGTGAAGGCGGGCATGAATGAGGTGTACACATGCTCTCAGGGGAACATGCCAACTCGAGACTGGACAACGAAGTGGCAAAAGATAGTGACCACACCAGGCTTCGACTAGACGTTTCCAAATCAACGATACGAGTTGTTCTCGCGATCGTGCGCGGGATTGCCGTCGGCACTCGGTAATGAGTACGACTATACCACATTCCAGGCCATTCTGGATCGAGCGAACTTGGTCATCCAAACGGACGACAAGGCCGCTAACGAGAGACAATCCCAGCCGCATTATGTGGCTAAGCAGGCCTATCAACGTCCGGCACATAACAATGCCGTGTTTTCTGAGGAAATCGACAACCACCACGCTGCGGCRGCATCCTCGAGTGATGGAGGAATGGTCGCAGCGCTCCCGCCGAAGCGTCCGAAGAGAGTTCGCAAGAACAAGGCGACACAAGAGACAGCGGCGACGGGAGCTGGGCAGCAGCCATGGACGGCTTATAAGATCACCAAGGAGGTCTATGACCTTCGTCAAAAGTACGCATACTGCCTATGGTGCAACAGTGTAGTACACACTACCACACAATGCCCGAACAAGGGCAAGGCACGCGTACCCCGTCCAGCCAACTCGAGAAACTGAGTTACGCAAGGAGAGGGGCGACGTCTCTCCTCACTCCGTCGGACCCAGTTGCCTTGCTAGCAATCGATGTCACTACCGGGGAGCATGCGTTAGTCGCTGATTCTCGTACTACGTACGAGGATTATGCAGCCCAACTGGTACCACCATTAGACCAGCCTAGCCACGTGCATGTAGATTGCGTATGCGCAGCCTGTACACCGTCGGCAAGTGATCCGGTCAGTTCGCCACTGCTTTCCGAGGACTCGACGGCGTGGTCAGGACTTGAGGAGCTTGACCCGCTCACGAGAGAGGACTTCGCCTGGATACCTCTACCCTCGGCCGGAACCTTGCCAAGGCCGCATTGCAACGCCTTGATGGCAAATCTACGCTTCTAATTGCACACTACAATACCAGCTCCGTTGATGGACGACGGGGTAGCGGTTGCCGATCTCCGCTCCTATCTTGCGAAGATCGACCGCGGGCACGCCACCCAAAGGTAAGCCGAAACCGTCGCACCTTTGCTCTATATCCGCATTCAAATCGGAAAGGCAACCTGTAGTGCCTTGATTGATTGCGGAGCGTCTCGCAACTTCATGAGTCAAGCCTTTATGGCCCGCGCAGGTCTTGGCCCGCGCGTTCGAAGAAAGACGCAACCTACGCAAGTTACACTCGCGGACGGCCGCACGCAAAAGTCAATTGACCGATGTGTTGACGGCGTTCCGGTCTACTTTGCGCCACTTGCGTGCGAGCCGGTGTCTTTTGACATCCTCGACACCAAGTTCGACATGATTCT